TTGTCATTTATGGGAAACGGGTATTTAGATTCTTCGTCACTGAGGAATTTCCGGCCGTCAACTACTCGAACGCCTTCGATGATTTGTAGGTGATCTATCACGTCGGTGAGCGAAAGTTGATCAAACGCATTGGCAGTTGGACTTTCCAAGTCGAGGCGCTCACTGAACTTTGTGAATGATGTGGGTGAAGAGAGAGATGAGGAAGACGAGTAGTACGAGGAGCAAGAATCAGTACTTGGAGTAGATGTGTGAGATATCATTTTTTTCTCTGTAATATTTAGGATTTTAATTTTTTTTGCGCTATGCTCTAGTTAGATAGAATTATAAGTCATTAATTTAATATAATTTAGAAGCAGTTGATTTTTCTATTTCGGTTAGCTAGTTCTCAGTTCGTTTCATGATAACGTACTAAACGTATCTTTATATATCCTTCCTTCAATGAAAGCTATTTTTGGAATAGACATGAAATTTCTTTCTTCCTGAACTTTCACCCAATCCTATTCTTTTATCCGGGCATTTTCACTCATATGTATAACTTAAAAAGCATCTTCACGCCATGTCCTTGTTAGGCATTTACTCTTAATTGCTCATGTCTCACATATGACAGCATGTATCCATATATATAATCCATATATAAATGTATCCATAATTGTTTGAACATTTCTTTGTTTGCCTAGACAACGACAATCTTTAATCGTCCTCATCGGTTCACGTCCAATAATGGAATACAGTGATTTATCGGATGTGCTAGCACATAAGGTTTTCTTTATATGCGCACTGCGGAATTACCTTATGACACGTCAATCCCAGTGCTTTCGGCATTTCCTCAATTCCATAATCAGTATTTTTATGGCGTAAAGGTAAATTTGTCATGCATTCACGAGCACATTACATGTTACCAAGGTTCAAAACGAATTTCAAGTTCTTCCAATAAAATAGATCGTCACAACAGTTTTTTCATGTCCGTGAAATTCCGATCTTAATGACCTAATAAAGACAATCGTTCTCCGAGCAACTACTATATGCGGCATGAAGATTCGAAATCATCTCCACAAATTCTGATGCAGGCGATCACAAGACGCAACTTAAAAAAAAATTATTAGTTTTTTTTTGGCAAAGATGAATGTACTACACCTTCCCCAGCAACTCAGTTGTAACAATGGATTATTAATGAAATTTCATTCAGTTTCCGTTTTTTCTTAGGAAAATTTTTTATCCCCGAAAACGCTTACCAAGCAAATTCTGATAAGTATTATAAAAGTGAAAAAAACCTCCGACGTTAACTAACTCCGTGAGATCTGATCTATGGCATATTACTAATTGTTAAAAACTTAACCTTTTGCCCATCTAGTCTTGGTTAATCGTTTACTATTATGTGTTTATTTAAACATAATTAGTAAATTGTAAAAATCATTCTTTTATCACATTATCATCATTATGATTATCATCATTTGAATTTAAGTTTAGCTTTTTTATTTATTTTATTTTATTTTATTTTATTTTATTTTTATTTTTTACATACAAACAAAAAATATCGCAAGAATTCATCGCAAAGTTCCACGTAAAAAAAGTATAACCTTGACTTTTTAGATTGTCCGATGAGATCGTCGATGTTTAAAAAAATTTCATTAGGCGACATTTATGGAAAATATATGCCGTATTTTTGAAAGTTTAATTAATTAATTAATTAATTATCAAAATTTTTTTGTTATGTTATAAATGAAACAAATGATTTTTTCTCATTACGATTAAATGAAGTGCATTTTTCCAATTATTAAACGGGAAATATCCGAAAAATAACATGTTTTTACGTTTTTCGCAGACTAATATACTACTAATATGTTCACTTGATCACGTGGATAAATGGAAAAGGTACGCCTTTTGGAACCAGTGATCCGGATAACGACACTAAAAAAATCTAGCTGAGATTGAAAAGGCGACCTTAATCCCTATATACTCACCAAGATATGATTCTAAGCATCAATCATACTTACGTACATACGTCAAATTCGCGTGATTAAATTACCAGAGTATGATTAATAAATACACTGTGAATAGACATTTGCTTCCTGAAGAGCATAATTGCCACGCTGGAAGTCAAATATACTCAAAGGTCATAGCGATATTTACATATATAATCACAAGGACATGGATAATGCTATTATTCCCTTTCAATTCGAAGAAATCATCGACCTTGACGAAGACGGAATAGCCACCAGCGCCGACACTACCACCGCCCTAACTGACATTACGCCGTTCACGTTTTTTACTACTTCCGGCGATTCATTGGCCAAAAGTGATCGAAGCGACTTCGAAAA